AGACGCAGTAGACGCCCAACTTCGAGATCAACAGGCTGGATTCCGTAAGGATCGGTCGTGCACAGACCAAATTGCGACACTACGGATCACCGTCGAACAATCAATTGAGTGGAACTCATCACTGTACATCAACTTCATTGACTATGAAAAGGCATTTGACAGTGTAGATAGGAAGACCTTATGGAAACTTCCTCGACACTACGGAGTTCCTGAGAAGTTTGTCAATATTATCCGGAACTCATACGACGGACTACAGTGCAAGGTCGTGCATGGAGGACAGCTGACAGATGCATTCCAAATAAGGACTACAGTCAGACTCTCTCCCTTCTTCTTTCTTCTGGTCGTCGACTGGATTATGAAGACCTCGACATCTGAGGGAAAACACGGAATACAATGGACAGCTCAGAACCAATGATACGATTTGGACTTCGCAGGTGACCTGGTCCAAGTATCGCATACACATAAACAGATGCAGATAAAGACAGCCAGTGTAGCAGCAGTCTCTACATCAGTAGGCCTCAACATACACAAGGGGGAAAACCAAAGTCCTCAAATTCAATACGGAGATCAGCAATCCAATCACTTGATGGCGAAACTCTGGAAGATGTAAAATCCTTCACATACCTGGGAAGCATCATCGATGAACAAGGAGGATCAGATGCAGACGTAAAGGCGAGGATTGGCAAAGCAAGGGTCGCATTCCTACACTGAAGAACATATGGAACTCAAAACAACTTTCAACCAATATCAAAGTGAGAATCTTCAATACGAATGTCAAGGCAGTTCTACTGTACGGAGCTGAAACTTGGAGAACTGCTACAACCACCATCAAGAACGTACAAGTATTTATAAATAGCTGTCTACGCAAGATACTCAACACCCATTGGCCTGATACCATCAGCAACAGCCTTTTGTGGAAGAGAACAAACCAGCTTCCAGCTGAAAAGGAAATTAGGAAAAGACGATGGAAATGGATAGGACATACATTACGCAAATCATCAAACTGCATCACGAGACAAGCCCTAACTTGGAATCCTGAAGGTAAGCGGAAAAGAGGAAGGCCAAATAACACAATACGTCGGGAAATAGAAGCAGACATGAAAAAGATGAATAAAAACTGGAGAGCTGGAAAGGATTGCCCAGGACAGGGTTGGATGGCGAATGCTGGTGAGCGGCCTATGTTCCTTCACGAGGAGTAACAGGCGTAAGGAAGTAAGTGGTCAACTAACCCTGGTAAGTTTGTTTACAAAGAAATGCTACACAAAAACCACAATAACGAAAACATTCAAAGGGAAATCAAGTAATTGTCAGACAATTCCGAAAGAGTGGAAAATAGTTTATTTAGAAATTGTATAGGTTATTACAAGAAATATATTACGAAATATAAGATAACAGAATAACTCATAGACAAGTATAAGAGAAGGTGAAACCCAACTGGTTTGCATGTTAGTTTCGTTTTCAACATTTCCTTGCATTCAGTTTGTGTACTTCTAACTTTAGACAATTGTTTTATTATTACATGTGTGAACATACTGATTTATTACTTCAGATCATTCAGTTCTTTTCTATTTCCATTTACTTACTATTTAGGTGAATTATTCGTTAAATTTATAAGCTAACAAAAGTCTATTTACGACTAAATATTACAAAATTACCCATTTTACCGTCTTTCCTACTTATTTCATTTAAAAGCAAAGTCGTATTTCGTCCCGAGAAAAACAAGTTTCAAATAATTTGGAAAACAAATATTTTAAGTAAATTGTAATAGTATAACTTCAAATTAAGCTACGGTTGGTCTGAAATAAGCACCACGGACGTTCTAGTAGTTTTAAGTCAAACTTTCACAGGAATATCGGGACATGCAGCTATCTTTTCTTTGTCATAGTCTTTCAAGAGCAATAATGAGTTTAGCATCTGTAATGATGGGTTGTATAATAAGTACAGCATAATAAGAATATCCAGAAGAAAGAAAAGGCTTCAAGATGAAAAATCAAGTATGAATGCGGCTCCCTAACTTTTGGTATGAAAACCCGTCAAAAGAGAAACTAGTATGCAGGCGAACAATTGAAGTCAACCAATGTAGATCACTTACTTACGCCTGTTACTCCTCGTGAAGGAGCATTTGCCGCCCACCAGCATTCTCAAACCAACTCTGTTCTGAGAAATCCTTTCCAGGTGCAATCCATTCTTTTGATATCTGCTTCCAACTCCCAACGCAATGTGTTCATTCATCTTCCTCTTTACCTTCTACCTTAAAAATTTCAAGTTGAGGCTTGCTTTGTGATGCAGTTTGATGGTAACCGCAATGTATTTGATGTGACACTGTAAATAATTCTATCCTTTAAGTAGTTAACTCCATTTCGAAACAGAAATGAATATCGTTGATGAGGATAACTAAGTATTCCTCAAGAATATATTCTAGCTTTATCCATATAGTGGTTTTAGTTATAACAATTAGGCAACAATCTAAGTTATTATACAATAGGAAATTGGTATTGATCGTTAAAATGGATATTTAGTAATGTTTTCACATTCTCAGTTTTTAGTTTTGATTGCTATCTACGGAAAGGTGACTAATCTATAACAGATATAACAAACAGTAGTTAAGAAAGTTAATTGGACTCAATGAAGAAATCATGTTGACGCTTAATTCCGTGACATATTCTCTGCTTATGAACTTCCTAAATGAATGAATTTCGTTTCTCAGAAAATTCTCATTCGATGTATGGCTTATTTGACCTTTACACTAAATCACCAGTTCAACTCATTGAATCTCACTAACTGATTGTAGGAATAATCTACTGTTAGGAGACTCAAATGTCAAGGTAGAATACTCAGAAGACACAGTACAGTTTACTGGAGATGCTGACGAAATTCAGTCCTTTGATTCCATTGATCCGTAATACAAGCGTTTTCAGGATACATTTCGCTTTATATTAACACCTAAACTGACGATAAGGAGTGAAGTAGCTGAGCGGACCGACCATTTCACCTATTTTGAAGGTCTCACCAGCTCTAGTGGGTTGAAGTTTGGCGGGATCATGGCACGAATTCAGGAAACCCGATTAACCTTTGCCAGCTTGGATCATTTGTGGCGTAGGCGAGATATCCGTTTGCAAACCAAAGAACAAGTATACTGACATCAGTTCACTTGGTTCTACCTTATGACTGTGAGACATGACCTTTGAAACCAAAGAATAGTCGTAGATAACAAATATTTGACCATAGGTGTCCTCGAAACACTGCCTGTTTATATTGGGACCATTGAATGAGTAATGCTGAGGTTAGATGCAGAGCACTAAGTAATAATAGCAAACTGGTTGGGATATATGTTGCATTTGCCTAGCCACCGCCCAAACCGACGCTCGACGTTTTGTGGTGTAGGAGACTAGAAGAAAGGTAGGGGAAGGCAAACCACGACGAGTCATCAGTTCACTAAGTTTCTGACTTTTTCTAAATCGTGTACGAAGGTGCAGATTACCCAGATGATATCCGCTTGATAACCGAAATCACTATTTGGGGACGTTGGGTGACATATCTAAAAATCATTTACAGTGAGACAAGCGCATTCAGCTTTTGTCTTGGCTCAAATCTTAAGCTTCGGAATTGTTTTTACTCTTTATTCCACAAACCAATTATTTTCTGCTCATATGATCTAACCCAATCCTCTTTACCACCACTAATATTACAACTACTTCTACTGCTTTGGTATTGCTCTTGACAATTTCATGTCGCTATGTTGTTGCAATTTGAGTTGATGCACATATATGGTAGGCTCTAAGTTGCTGATAACTAACTGGAGATCTGTAAATCCGTGTTTTAAAAAATCCTATGGCAAGTTATCTTATCCGATTACGCAATATAATAGCATAATTAGTAACTTTTTATGGATGAAAGGTTATTTGGTCTGGATTGTATTCATCAAACAGATTAATCTAAAAAAACTGGCACTCAAAGTTACAAGCAGATTTTCTGTTTGATAAGTAACCCGCCAGTTAGATCATGTCCTGAGGTTTAGACGACACCCAATGGAATCAGTTAACAAAGTTATTACGTCACAATCCTAGTATACATGATGTTTATACAAACTCATTTTATTTCTTGAAAGCGTCCTGGGTTCACGTCATAAACACCTCGTCCGACTTTGAATTCCTCGAATTTTCCAGGGCAATTAGTGTTCAGTTGAAGACAAATCTCAAAAATATCCTGGACTACTAAAAATGTGATTTCAGAAACTGAAATTTGATTGACACACCGAAAACAAGTACCCTAAAATGCCTTAACTCAATTACTTATTTTCCGACAGCTTCCGTATAACTGGTTTGCAATCGCTATCTCTGTGATGTGTAAACCACCTGCCCCAGATACCCTGCCAGCTGCAAAAGGCTGGATGATTTAGTACCACGCGAATGTTGATACAGAAACAACTAATTTACGGTAAATCCGTTGGTGATTTCATCCAGGTTGAGAAAAAAAAATAAATTCAGACGTGCAGCATGGTTTCTCACCCGTCGCGTGATTGGATGATGTCTTCACTCGATAGCTAGCGGAAATCCTGTATAGCCATGCATCCCAATTACTGCAATGGTCATTGACATGTCTCAATAGCAGTTAATATACACAACCACGAGATTCAATGACAGAAAAGCCCAGACAACTACAGCAACTATTGGGTTACACGATCTCAAGGAGTGTGAACTAGACACACGGGCTCACTACTCGCCATTACTGAATTTTGATTGGCCCAATGTATGTGCCTTAAATAATAGCCACTTAATTTGTGTCAGTGTGTGGAATTTAAATCTGGTATGAATTTAGACAGGCTGACCGCTAATCTATTGATCGCTCAATTACTCTGTAATTGGCTACTTGATCAATATTGGATATTTGAATGACGGACATGTACACGTGTGTTTGCTGTCGTTTCTATTGAATTTTAATGGTGCGGACCGATCTATTGATCGCACGCCTAACTTGCAGTGTGGTTTCGTTGAGATCTCATTCCTTTGGACTCTGGTTGTTAAAAAGGCAAGTTTCTGGACTATTTTACTGTCATGATATATTAATCTATTGAGTTGACTAAAGTTTGTTGTAATAGTGTATACCTGTTGGTACTTGTTAGTACTACGACTGCCGTGGTTTATTCAAAACATAATTAAATTAAACACATAATACCCAAAATCACTCCAAAATAAAAGGTTGTCAATTAGTTTCGCATGATTCATGCTGTAGTTAAAATGTCCAGTTATTTGCTTTCCTGAAGATGCGGAAATCTGACAGAACATCAGTCCTGATGTATCGTAAGTTTTGTTGCAAAAATAGAGACATTAGAAGTTAGATTATCGTTGATATTCAGCACTTGACTTGCCTCCAATGTTTTTGTATCATTCTGTGTTGTAGGCCGAGTGCAATCTCAGCCTGGTATGGTAGCCAGATATAGACCACTTGTAGCCAATGTGAACAGCAGTAAAAAACGCTTTTCTGATACGTCTTGTGATACTCGATTAAACTCAGTGCCACTAAAAGGCAAAATTTTTTCACGTCAGGTTAGTCAACGTGGCACAGACCAGCCATCTCAAAATTTGTCTGTGGCAAAGAAGAGTGGTTCATCATCAGTACACACAAGTGAGTTTTTCTTAATCCGAATTTAGTTGTTGAGTATGTATTTCCATCACCAGCGTATTCTTTACCTTTCAATCAAACACCATTTTAGGAATAATAATATTTATGTTTAAATGCAAGTTAGGTGAACTTTCTACCGAACCCGTAACTATTTACACAATCACCTACTTTATTATACTTATCAAAAAAGAATCCACTTCATATCTATAGATATCAGTCTATGTTAATTAGAAGTATCCTCTAGGCATAGAGTAACAAGTGTGTAAGTCCATACTTAATGCATACTACTTCATTTACTGGTATTAATGACAATGATGTTCAAATTATTTGTATTATCTTAATCATACCATAATATTTCTTGGTAACTTAGTTGTATCCAAACAATGATAACTTTAAAACGCGTTTGGTTCGCTGGTGTACATCACTCAGCAGCTTATACCATATTTTGTTATACCACTGAAAGTTATGGAATCGAAACCAATAAATTATCCTAATATGATAACCAGAGGACTTACGTGTCATCAATATTTGTAGTAACTGTAACTGTACACGATCGTTGAATCGGTTCACTTAAAAAAAAAGGTTCACGAAATTCAGTTTACTGTTACCTGTCGCAACCACTTACTTCAGGGTGGTTGTCTGAATATTTCATCTTTAAAGAAATCGGGAGGTAAACATCTGATTGTGTTCTCACGTGTTGTATTGTTTCGTAAGTAGGTTATAGTACATTGTCTAATCTAATTCTCAGTATTTTATTGGCTTTTGGTGGTTGCTACAACCTCCTTGGCTTGTTAACCTGATTATGCAAGAATGAAAAGATTTGAGAGAAAATCCCCATACACTCCATATTGAGTAGTGTAGATCAACGATGATTTAGACGTACGAATTACGTTATTCAATACCCTATAGCCTTTTGCAGCAGCAGCCTTACAGTGACTAGTCGTTTTGAGATCATTGCTTAATATAACTCCTAAGTCTTTATAGTTTCTTGTTTTGGGTAGCACGAATCCACGTAGTGTATAGTGATACGATTCGTCAGAGTTATTTAACTGCATCACTACACTCTTATTAGGATTTACTTCCAGTGACCACCTGTCTAACCATGCCACTAATGAGCTAAGATCGTCCTGTAATACTATTCTATCCGACATACTATGTATGGGTCTCCAAATCTTTATGTCATCAGCGAAGAGTCGAACGGATGATTTTGCTACAGTTGGCAATTCATTTACATAAAGTAAAAAGAGAAGAGGACCTAGGATTGTGCCTTGGGGAACCCCACTTTTTACAGGTACCCACGAGGAGAGAGCCCCATTAACCCTTCCCCTTTGTCTCCTGTCATGGAGAAAGTTACTTATCCAATCGACGACTGTGTTATGGATTCCAAAACGTTTCAGTTTGAATTTAAGACCAGAGTGTGAAACCTTATCAAAGGCTTTACGTAGATCTATGAAAATTACATCCACAGGAGCATTCCGATCCTTTGCCGCAGCCCACTCTTCTCGTGCAATGAGAAGATTTGTCAAGCAAGATAGGCCTTTCCGAAAACCATGTTGTGCCCTGGAGAAAAGATTTCGCCCTTCAACATAGTTTATAACAGCTATCCGAATGATTTTCTCCATCAGTTTCACAACTGCACTAGTTAAGCTAACGGGTCTATAGTTACTAACTAAATCCCTACCCCCAGCCTTATACACCGGACTTATTATGGCGTCTTTCCAGTCTCTAGGAAGTCTGGACTGTCTCAGAGACATGTCGAATAGTATCGCTAATGGTTCAGCAATTTCATCTGATATGGCTTTCATAATCCTATGATGAATATCATCGGGACCACTGGACTTATCAGGTTTGAGATGCTGAAGTAGCCTTAAAACAGTATATTTCTCAATGACTACAGGATCCATCAGCGAGCCGTCACGGTCACGATGAATCATTGGTCGTTCCTCATTACCGATAGAAAACACTTTACTAAAATATTCCGATAAAGCTTCAGCTTTTTCGGCATCATTCTCTGCTAAGATTAACGGATTGTCTCGTATCAAAAGTGATGGAATTCCATCGCTTCTCTTAGTTCGCCTTTTTATGTACGAGAATAACCGTTTTGGACTATATCTAGGATCCCTAATCAATTGTTTTTTCATATGATCGTCTAGTCTTACTTATTAACGCTTTACAGGCATTCCTAATCTTACAATAACTGGATCTGTATTGTTCTAAGCCAGTAGAGATGAACATATTCCAGTGCTTCTTCCTTTTTCTAAGGAGCTTCCTGACTATTATAGTTATCTACATCTATGTCTATCACTCCTGATGCAATGGTATCCGGATAATTCTGGAGTAATGTCTAAGTCATGGACTAACCAAGTTTCTGTCACTGCTACTATGAGTGGCTTTAACCTGTCTACGAGTGCTTCTAGTTCATGTCAGGTCTAACTCGGATGTCAGAATTGTCGTGACAACGAGCGCTACTTAACAAGAGATCCCGTTGCTTCTCCGATCCTAGGATTACCTTAAGGAGTCTGCATGGACGGGGTTCAACATTGTCCTCGGTCCTCTTGACTATTCTTACCAATTTTTTGACCTGAACTCTTTTGGAGTTATCTGGTAAAATACTACGAATGTATTCTCCTAGCTTTTCTAAGTCATGCGCGTGTCTAATTTTCGGATCGGGGTCGTTTGACTCCCGCAATTCGCTCACAATAATATTCGATGTTATTAGATTTTTCTTCTCAGTCACGCCAGGATGGGTTTCACTCTTACCATCAGATCTTGGTAGTGCAATTTGTGGTTCACAATTTGAGTCCATCAGTGAGTTACTAACTACCTGTGTACTGCTTACAGCTTCTTTCTTTTCGTTTCGTTTCCTACGTACCGTAGTCCATTTTTCATCCCTCATAACACTAGGACTATTTGGAACGGTGACTGTTTTATCCAGATCTTCGGTTCCCATTAAAGGTACATTATTAACAATGTCAGTACCAGGTGGTACTACTCCCCCTGTTAATGTCAACGAAGATTCCACTTTTACGTCGGTCAGAGTCGGTTGTTTAAGGCGTCGCGTAACAGCAGGTACTACACTGACACATTCGTCACTGTCAGTGCCCATGTTGTCAGCGCATATGCCATCCTTCTTTTTACAGGCCAAAGCCAACAGGCTCATAGCCTCCTGTATTAGTAATGCCTTGTTGGCACAGCAAAACATGCTAAGCCAATGTGAGTTAGGCTTCGAGCATCTTTTGTATGCGGTGGGACTTAAGCGGGTGCACATTTTGTGGAACCACTTATGACATTCGTCACACAGCATTCCCTCCTCCACAGGGAACAAACAGTTTGGTTGTCCACATTTGTGAGTACTACCAACCATTTTAGTCTGATCAAAGTGTAATACACAATATGATCACAGTATGAACACAAATGTCAGTCAACGAATAAAAGGTTACCACAAGAAAAACTTTAGCAAGATTTCAAACCTTAACGAAAGTACTTTGACACAGACCAAGCATGCTTCGAACGCCAAAAAAACTCAACAGAATATCACTTTAACTGTATTAGATTCAATTAAAGTGTAAATCGTAGTTTTGATACGTAATTTACGATCAAAACAATTTACTAATTCAACGAAAAACAATACCACTGTCTTTTTTATATAGCGCGCGTTAAACACACACTTTTGATAAGGTTGATTTATCAAAATATATCCTCCCACATACAGTGGCTTACCCGTCAAGTAACTTTGTGGGTACTCTAGGCATGATTACATTACTAATTTCATTTACAGACACCTTGTTAGTTATTATAATCAGTTTCTTATAAGCCTTTGGTTATCATGTTCTTTCAAACCCTTAGTTGTTTGGAGCACTTCTAATAAGTTGTGTTTATAATATATGTTTGTTGTTATTTCCAAAATCATCAGGTATCTGACAATCAAGTAGATATAACCACAAACAGAGCTTTAATGCATTTGTTGATCACACAATTGTAGTTTACCCGTCAGCTGCCTCGTCACTTCCTGTTTCATCTTCTCCATATCCTTCGATCTTTAAGATCTTGCCTCCACAATATAATTACAAGAATAGGGGATAATTACCGCCAAAGAATTGTAAAATATTTATAGTAGACAGTAGTGGATTGTTGCGGGTTAACAGTCATGTACCGATTTAGTCAACCAAAATCAATACGGGGCATGGCACAACTGTGCGTTTCCATCGGTTGCCATACCGCCTCGACACAGCAAGATGAAACTAACATCAAGAGTCTAAATAATAGTAGTTTCAACGTTAGTGCGTAGTAGCTAAACATAGATACCCTACCAAGTTCAGATTGATTTAATATAGTAGGCGTCTAAGTATAATTTAATTACCAGCCCTCCTATCTATATCCACAACTAAAAACAGGAGCCCACTTTACGTATTTATTGGACAGGTAACGTGTTCTTGGGCGTCTTTTCACTGTATTGAAAATAATTAGATGTTGCCACTTCAAAGATTCTATGAAATAGTGTCAGGTGATACGCAATAGTTTTTTTCTGGTTTTCTCATTCAGTGTTATACATCCCATTGTCTGGATCCTACGTTTGTTAGTAAATTTGTTGTTTCATGGTTAGATGATGAAAGTCGTGAGGGAAACAGCGAAATTAGCTGCTGCATTAGTGATTAAAGTCAGGACGAGTTCTTTTATACTGTTATGTCAAAGTTTTTCCACAGCCTGAGGACATTTCTTGGACAATTCAACTTTTTTGCGTGTAAAGATATGACATTCTAATACTGCACATTCGTACTTCTCCTCATTAGTATATTTTTCAGGTTTCTTAAAAAATGTCTACAAGCTAGTTTGTGATTGGCTGATAACTTATATTCTATAGATTTCAAGATCACTTTCAAATTATCATTAGGAGCTAAACAATTACAACAGCTTGGATACGATTAGCAATAAACCAATCGCTCCTAATAGAAATCGGCCATCTTGATTCCGATCATTTTCTCTCGTATTATCACTTGCAAAATGTCCGTTTTTATGTTCAAAGCCTGTGCTGATGGCTAGGATTTATCAAGTGGCAACCAAATTGGTTTTGTGCTTTTAATTTCTATGTCAACTCTTACATATTAAGGTGCGTATATTTTTCTGCATATAAATGAAAAATATTGCTTCAGAACTGGCCTGTTTCGGCCCCTGAATTAGTCATATGAAGTAAAGTAGCTGAGCGGACCGACCATTTCACCTATTTTGAAGGTCTCACCAGCTCTAGTGGGTTGAAGTTTGGCGGGATCATGGCACGAATTCAGGAAACCCGATTAACCTTTGCCAGCTTGGATCATTTGTGGCGTAGGCGAGATATCCGTTTGCAAACCAAAGAACAAGTATACTGACATCAGTTCACTTGGTTCTACCTTATGACTGTGAGACATGACCTTTGAAACCAAAGAATAGTCGTAGATAACAAATATTTGACCATAGGTGTCCTCGAAACACTGCCTGTTTATATTGGGACCATTGAATGAGTAATGCTGAGGTTAGATGCAGAGCACTAAGTAATAATAGCAAGCTGGTTGGGATATATGTTGCATTTGCCTAGCCACCGCCCAAACCGACGCTCGACGTTTTGTGGTGTAGGAGACTAGAAGAAAGGTAGGGGAAGGCAAACCACGACGTGTCATCAGTTCACTAAGTTTCTGACTTTTTCTAAATCGTGTACGAAGGTGCAGATTACCCAGTTGGTATCCGGTTAATAATCATGACCAATGGTTAATGAGATGGATGAGGTGCATTCTGTCTTTGTCTTTATTTAAATCCGGAGTCCCAAAATGTGCCGATACTTCTAGTTTTCTTTCTCCGTGCCTAATGTTTTGTACAACAATCAATGCTTTTACCAATTCTGCTTTTCTTGGATTTATCTTGATCACGTATCTCACTATGCTAGTGGTGACTTCAGCCAATGCACATATGTATCAGGTTCTACGTAGCTTGTGACTGACCGACTACTCGTGTTTTCGAAGGGCATTTCCTTAGACTCATCTGACTGTTGTGATTCCCAAATCAAACTGAACCGTGGTTTCTTTGTAGCTGACATTTAAAGCAATAGTGTCGAGTGTTAAAACAGACTGCATAATTATCAGTAGTTACGTTTTTATGATTGAAATGTGTGGATTATTGTCACTTTTATTTCCTGATGCGTAAGGCGAAATTTAACGGGGTTTCGATAACTTGCAGTGATTTTACAGATTATGGTAGTAAATTGAGGGGCTATAAAGTGTCCCACCACCTATTTTTCCGAAGCATTGTTAAGTTATATTAAAACAATTAAATTTAACTTTATTGAGATTGTTTGTTTTCTGTTAAGTAAGAAATTTACTCAGTAATATTCCGAAACTATTATTCCAAGTGACAAAAGTGTTATGATATACATGAAATGTAATTAAAATCTCACACATTCAGTAAGTGTTAAAATACGTTTTCTTTGGTTACACTAAGATCTAAGGATTTTTTTTCAAAATAACAGACATATAATCGACTTCATACATCCAAATAATAGTAATGTTTTTGTATCATAGTGAACCTCACTATAGATCGTTTAATTAATGGAAGCTGAATAGCTTTTACTTTAGTAACATTAATTTACTAAGATAGGCGTTTAGCATAAGAAGTCACTACCAAATAGATGAGTTTGCTCATACTTAATACATATATGTTAATATGTAGATTCTTATTGTTGATGAAACCTTAAAAGCGGAGAGTAGCACTTGATGTATTTGGTGGCAAAGTATCACAATTTATTAGTATGATTTACAGGATCTGTTAAGTGAGAATGTGTATATACTTGAAGGGACTAAACAAGCGGGTTATACAATCTTTTGGAACCACCACAAATTATCAGTTAATTTATTTTTTGAACTTAGTTTTTATTATCAATTGATAACGTAAAGGGTTAACAGTTGTCACACTTTTCTTATTGTCAACATGGGATTCATTTTCATGTAGTTCACATTTTGGTTAGATATCTGGAAGTTTTCACGTGCTACTTCCTTATGTTATTCAAAAATTCTGATTGACATACGAGATAACTTTTAAGTTAGTTATTAACTGTTAGACAAAATTTCTCGCTATAATCGGTCTTCATCTTGATTAGGTGTTCAGTCCCTATGTAGTTGTTTTAGAGTGACTTGAGAAGAAATTCTAACTTACAAGAACTAATGCAACGTCTAAAATTCGGATCAAATATTGTTCAGTACTTACTTTACGGTGGTATTCTGACGTTTTAATAACTTGCTTGTAGAATATGCTGTTGCTCCATTTTTCCTAGGTACTTTATGGTTTAAATAGTTTTTCAGGTCTATTAGCAACTAAATCATTTCAATCTTTACATTGTTGTTTTTCTAGAACCCGGGCCTTTCGATTGGGCACATTATCTTAGAGAAATTGATGCAGATCCTGTTCAGTCTTCTCTCTTTTTTCATGTTCCGTTTGAAGTTCAGGTATGTCATTTATCGATTGCATATACTAATGTTGAAAGTTTATGTAAACCATTTCAAGAGCATCTACATACGTTTGGTTAGTGGTTTGTAAAAGAGATCCTTCAAGTTCATGTCTACGGTTCACATAGTCGTTTTGCTGATAACCTCAATTATTTATATGTACCGACTCTCCACTAGTATATATATATATAGGCTTAATTGTTGATTGGATGAGACAACGGTGAATTATACTGAGTTGGAAAATGAGTATCGTACGTGTGGACGCATCAGGGCTAGTTATCATTCATGCCTCAACCATGTAACTGTATTGTAGTCATTAACGTCGTCTCGATTCCTTAAACAAATCCAGTTATTCCTTTACATGTTTAGAGTATTGTAGAAAGACCTTTTCGTAGGTTCCTGGAACCGAAAAATCTTGTATTTTTTAGAAGTATAGTAATCTTGAATTATTGCTTCTTTTCTGCGACATGTTAATTTGACCAACCATTCTTGTTGGTGATTATTATTGTCTTCATCTAGTATAGTATTGTCTGATTATCTTTGTTCTATATGTATCAGTTCCATAAAGCCATTAAGAGTGAGTTAGTAGAATGTAGGGTTCAGGTTGCATCTCCATCCAGTCACTAATCTGTTTATTCACTTCTTTAGGTATACTTAAATTGGATTAAGATCACCACTTGTTTATCAACATCTAGTCCTAATCATTCAGTCCAGTTAATAAAATATTACTGATTATTAACCGATTTCGTATGTGTGTTTCATGTTTTTACTCATTCTTATTACTTCTTAACAAGGTCCCATCACCATCAATTCTTCCTGGACAAAATGTAGCCCCTGAGGGAAATTTCAAGCCTGGTCAGTATTTAGAGGGTATTGATCCTCATAATGAAAGCTTAATTTGTGTCCTCTGCGTTTCTGAATTGATAGGACGGCGTGTCAAGCTTCATTTTGCTAGTTACCCGGAGAAGTATGACTTCTGGACGACAATAGACTCTCCTTTTTTGTTTCCTGTTGGATGGTGTGCACATAACAACCGTCAACTTCAACCCCCCAAGGAATATCTCGAAGAATCTTATCATCCATTTAATTGGACAAGCTTTTTGGCTAAACTTGGAGCCAAACCAGTTCCTCGTCATTCATTTAAAGTACCATGGGATTCTGTAAGCTGTGATGTCAAAGTTATGCTACCATAAACATGAATTTTTGAAACCAGTTTGTTCGGTTTTGTTGTTTACACCATAAATTTGAGTAAGACGTACCTTACCAAAAACAGGTTTATGCTCTCGACTTACAGCGTCACTTGTGGAAGTCCGATCGTTCAAACGGAAGAAGATTTATCGGGATTCAGTCCTTTGACTCAGTGATTAAATGTCGATTACATTAATCCTGAAGTTACATCCTGGGTGGCATATCTTAGAATCAGTCGCACTTGCTCAGGTGCATTCAATTTTTGTCTCCTCTCACATCTCGAATTTCAAAATTATTTTACACTTTTTTATTACGCGAATCCATTCCTTTTTAATCGAATTATATTATCTATCTCTGATGTTTTCTACTTTCGCTGATACCATTACTACTCTTACTACTCTAGGATTCGTCGTGATAGCTTCCTTTTATTGTACTAATATGGTCTAAGAACTTGAACCGATGTGCATATGTATGTTGCTCATGTTTGACTGACTGGGTATTGTAGTTATTTCCCCACTCATTGTTTTCTTACATAGAGAGACTACGTAGATCCGGTAACTGTTATGATATGACAGCTCTTAAAATAACATAGTGTCTACTGAAACGGTGGCTTGGTGGTTAGGGTGTTTGGCCCACGACTACTAAGTTCCATGTCCGAACCCCGTTCCTCCTACTTATTATGGTTCATACCCAAGTACCTGATGAATGAATAAATCTAATAAGAGTTTTTTTCTGACAAATCAAGTGATTTAATTGAGTACCTAAACAACTGAGATAAACCAGTAATTCACTCATTGTAATGATCTCCAGACCCGAGCTTGTTAAATTTTAAAAAATGAAACAACTTTGCGTTTACCTATAAGTACATTTTGAAAAATTAAAATTATCATTCGTATGCAAAAAAATATTTAGCCGTGATTGTAGGTTAATTGTCAGTTAAAATGATTCATCAAAGGTGAAACATTAGTCAAAAATCAATTAATATTTATTCACTTAAACATCCCATTTTACATACCGAATCCAATTGTGTCATTTAAATAATAAATGAATCTTGTTATCTGAAATTCAAGTAAATGCTTTCTCGTTCGTAATATACCTAGTAAGTCTAAATAGCTGGCATATGGCCTTAGGGCTTCTTTGCCCTCCAGTGTGATCATTTAAAATATTACCACACAAAAATTCATAGTTGTAACGTGTCTTAAATTTAGTAGTTAGTATACAATTTTCTTGGTCTGGCTTACGTGTTTTAATCCACAAAGCTATTAGTATGGTATTACCTGAATGCGTTAGCCTCATTTGCACCGATGCTAAAGGTGTGAAAATCTGGCTATACATATTGTTGCTAAGGTAGTCCTAAAATACACCATTACTGTCAAGTATCCAAATTAATGTATTGACGGGTTTTGTTTATTGGATCTAAGATAATCACTGGTTTCATCAAAGGCAACTGTACTCTGAAGACGTTGAGATGAAAACACCTTACCAACCTGCGTTAGGCCTCAAAAATTTGAGTAACTACAACTTACAATGAACTATATTTTAATCTTACTTATGTTCATCGGTATATATATATATATATATATATATATATATATACATATTATTATTATTATTATTATTATTATTATTATTATTATTATTATTATTATTATTATTATTATTAAGCCGATACTTTCTGAATGAGTAAATGTAGTTGCAAATGATCTTTAATTTTACATTCTCAATGGGATCCAATACACTTTGTGTATTTCCCCTATGCTGAGTGCTGTTGGAATACTTCATATACTAACTGCTTATAAAACCTACTGACTGCAAAATAGATAATAAACAGTACCTAAATTCAGTTGCTGAATTACTAGCGAGTACACATTTTCCAGTTTTATCTTGTTCTTCATCAACGTAGTTTGTTGATTTAAAGTTTTTCTTATATTTTAGCCTGTTGATGCATCTCCACCGCATATGTTTGCTGTTGGACTTAAACTTGAGGCTATAGATAAACGGAATCCTTCTTTGGCTTGCGTTGCCACTATAAAAGACTGTATCGGTGATTATATATTGATTCATTTTGATGGTTGGGACTCAGGGTTTGATCAGTGGGCTCACATATCATCTGAGCTTTTACGTCCTGTTGGGTATTGCGAGGATCATGAACAAGTTTTATCAATCCCCAGTGGTATGTATTGCTAATTTGTAAATTTAGTGAAAATTCGCATTTTGATATTCGGCATATATATAAGCGTAGAGCCATAATGAAAAACTAATTGAAAACAAATTTCTTCTCTCGATTCATTCCTTCCTAATTTGTGCTATGACCCGTGTTACTGAGGTAAATTGCGAACCACTGACCACTCAGATTTCTTAGTTTAGAAGTTATATTTTTTTGAAAATCTTACACTTCACCGTCCCTGTTTAATCTTTTCTCCTAAACCTTCTTAGTACAGCAATATATAAGAAGTTGAAACGAACATTCTTGATAGCAGTACCATAAGGCTGTCATTCGTAAATGTATTATTTTGTACCATCAACTTATTAAGAAAGCAACATAAATTCAATTGTTTATTTGTAGCTGAAAAAAACAAGGCACTGAGCTATTTGATGACTAAATTTTATCCAATTCAATATCATTATTTTATTATCAGAATGGGTTTTGTGGAGTTTTTAGAAATTTCACAGGTTGAAATCATGAGTCGATTGAAGCTAGACCACCATGGAAAACTTGGAAGCACTGGACGGCCGTTTCGTCTTAGTATGGGACTCCTCAGCAGTGCGCACCCACGATCCCGCACCACGCAGGACTCGAACCCAGGACCTACTGGCTTCGCGCGCGAGCACTTAACCACTAGACCACTGAGCCGGCATCCAACGGTGTTAATGTCTAACTTCAACCAATCCACGAAGTTGCGCCACCGTACACCATTGTCTTCAGTGAGTTACTATCTCACGACAGACCCGGTTGATGCGCACTGCTGAGGAGTCCCATACTAGAACGAAACGACCGTCTAGTGCTTCCAGGTTTTCCATGGTGGTCTAGCTTCAATCGACTCATGATTTCAACCTGTGAAATCATTATTTTATGTCAGGTGACAAAATATGAGCTTTCACGGCTCCTGTACAGATGATGTAATGCTTGACAATACCATATATAAAGCTAGAAATCATACTGTAGTGGTTGAGGTGATGATACCATTTAACAATTTGAATCTCGTGATAGAAACCCTTGATCCATTTACTAGGAGTAGATTGTACAAACCTCTATACTGAGATTCTACGCTGATGCTGTTCATCTGGCGATTCTCTAAAGAGACTGAAGTTTTGAGTGTTAATTTGGTGAACGTGGAAACAAGTTAAAACGCTTTACATGGTTGATTTTAAATAACCACCAGCACATGCGGAACTTTATTCAATCACCACAGAACAGATCATCTAATAAGACTGAATTTGTTTCTGCGGCTAACTACTATATCTTAACTTCATTGTTACTGACAAATTTAATTTAATGAATACCTAATTACATTACGAGTCTTTTGAAAATCATCAAATTCCTTGGAACGTACTAGTTTTTGTCTATACAACTGTAAATAGTAGGTAAGAATGCTAAGCGAAAGAATTGTAAATATGCTGACCTAGTAAACGTTTAGCGAGAATAAACGATGTGTCTGGTATGTGTGTAGAATATTGGGATCTATACCATTGCATCCTAATAAATGTACACAGTTCACTAAGCTTAAACTTCGTGTTTACATGTTAACAATAATTAAGTTTCTGTTATAGAGGCGGTTTTTAATGATTACTGAATAAAATTTTCGAATGTCCGAACCGATGAATGAAATCCTAATCGACAAATGAATACAATTATGTAATGTGGTCGAGTGATGGATGCTCACAAGAACGTATTATTGATTCAAATGATTGGAAACCAAAGACAAAAGTACTAGTTAGGTGACTAGAATATCATGCAATAAAATAACATGCTTATATACAAAATGTAAACACTAAATAAACACGGTAAAATGACATGGGCGATTAGCGGAAATGAATTCATAGTTTACTCACCCTCCAATCAACTAAGGCCTGAGTGTGAGGCCTAATTTCTAAGAACCTTACTAATTTCACGAAAAAATAAAATGACTTTTTTGTGTCATACCTAAATTTAAATCCAGTCATCTGCACAAATCGAGTCCGATGTTCATCTTTGATATGTTCTTGTCCCAGTACCAAGTAGAAGCGGATGATAGGAAAAGAAAAAAAAACTTTTGGACCACTTTTTATGTATACAATCAGTGGAGCACTATGAATCACAGTCAGTTGCTAAAACTCAACCACTCAAGACCATATAGGTTCCTTTCTGCAAACTTTTAAATCCCGTTCTTGTTTTATCGATACGTCTAATTCAGATAAGAACAACTGCAGTCCAAGTGGTGGTTACCAGTATACTGAATTTTTTCCATAATTAACGAAGTCAGTGGATTCGAATATTCTTATACAGTTTGGTTAATAATAGCAGCACAGTGCCATTCTGTAGAAATTTTATTCTTTGTGTGGTAATTTCCTTTTTTCATTATATGTGCAGGCTAATTAGAGATTTAAGCTGGTATTCATGTATCAAATTCTAATTTTAATGAACCTATCAACTTTAGGGGAGAATGTTAAAAGAAGACTTAGATTTATTTTATTTTCAATACGGATTTCATAAACCATTATAGTGAACTGAGAGTTTTACGTTTGACAAACATTTCCGTAGACATATTTACATCCTAGAAATAGTTTTTCACCATGTCAAGCGATTGGTTTTGGGATATTCATGGATCAAAGCCGTTAAGAAGTGTACACATGAAGCATATTCAATTTATGCTTCAGCTCTTGTTAATCTATTTAGATATATAATGCGATGAGGTTTATGTCGTGTCCATTAGATGGCTTTGCATTAATGGTCGTAATTCTTTTATGACAAATAACCTTAATTGGTTTTTTATTTCGTAGAAACAGGCGTCAAAAATATTTCTGCAGATAATAAACATGAACTTAAACCCAAGCCTAAGGAAAAACTTAGTCTTACCAGTTTAGGAGCACTAAGTAACTATAGAACTTTTTTTATCTATAACATTTCATTTTCTTGATAGATTGGAGCAACCGTCGTAATGGCTTTAGTTGGAAACTTTACCTGAAAGAGACAAATTCAAAGCCTGTACCTAAAGAAGCATTTGATGAGGTAATATTGGTCAGTTCTAAATTCGCTTTTGATTCATATCCTTAGGTTCTTGGTCTGGTTTATTTGTTAAATGCTCATAAAATTCTAATTAGTCTGATTGTAAAATTATAATCTAACTGTAAAATGCATTATTGGTACACATGTGTTTAAGTAAAAATGCGTGGATCGTATTGTATTTTGGTTTCTAGCTTTTATTGGTTGGTTGAATGAAGCTAATCAAGTCAGTTACATATATCATCTATTATTCTGTACTAGTATAGGATGTTTACTAGATATTGTTTAACACGTTATAAAATTAGTTATCATTACGAACTGAAATCAGCTAAAGCCTCAAACAAGGACAGAATAAATAACCGGTTCAACCTTTTTTAGTCAATACCAGCTCGTGACAAACCCAATCTACGGATGAAATAAATCTTTACAAACTACCTTGATAATTAAATCTATCATGAAAAACGTACATGATTACTTAGATCCAAAAGATACAAAAAATACCTTTCGCACTGATTTGATCAAACAACAGAAATTAAATTGCCGATAATCGTGTTTTTGTATTTATGGTTTTCTGTATCACCTAATCAAACATTCTCTATACTTGTCCACATGTTTCGTGAGTTATGAATTTCGTTATTATACGATCTATGAACTCTTCATTTCTCATTTATCATGAAACTTCTCTGTTATTACTGGGGCTTCCTTCATGTTTTTCGATGTATATTTTTTGGCGTTGTTTGTCTTATAGGGTCGTCAAAGTAAACTTTACCTGTCCTGTCAATATATATTATATTTGTACTAACTGTCTCGTTGAAGTTTTTCAGAAAAATAATCATGTACGAAAAATAGGGTTTCATGACGTAATACGTGTTACGAAAGGAAATAATTCCTATTTGTATCTGTATCATCACCTTTATGTTATATAAAGTGATATGGTGAGCAGTACGTAAATCGATTGGAGTGCGAATGACACGTGAGATTTCCAATCTTCTGTGACATGTAATCACATAACTTTGTGAATTGGTTATATCTGCTGATTGTAGACGTCTAATTGTATTTAATTGTAAATAATTGTTTACAAAGTAGGTAATTGATTAATTGGTGTTATACTACTCAGTTCAATCTATGCTTATATAAATGACAATCTGGCTAAATAAATCGTAAAAGTTGTGTATTCATGTATTCTTTTGATTTATTTTGGTAGTCAAATAAATCCTTATCACCGTTTTCCTACTTGCGTTGTCTGATTCACGGTTTTTCTCGTACTAAATCAGTTAAAGACTCCGTGGAAATAGCGTGAAATTTGATAGATTATCAAGTTTCATAGTTTCAATACTATTAATTGAAACAAACAATACCATGAATCCAAAGAGTAGTTTTCTTCTGTATCTTATAGTCCATCATATGGGAATAAAGCCTTCAGCAGAGGAGCATTATCCAATCTATCCCTGTACATTTATCTATAAATCAATGGATTACTAGCTTTCTTCAGTCTCAAGATCAGTGGGAATGCAATAGTCATGAGCTGAAAATAACCTCAAAATTTCTCTCATTCAACCATCACTTGTTCGTTTACTGTTAATTTATCAGTTAAATTAAAATCTAGCGATTACTTTATTCACTAAGCTTTTTTTTACTAGTCTGTCTTTTGTTACATAGATCGTATACGCAAAAAACACAAAACATTCTACTTGATATATTTTATTAATGTTAATCTCCAATAATCTGACTTTTATGATGGTGAACTAAGAGGGAGGATGAGTATTTCTGGCTCCTATTTTTAAAATGTTTATACAAGAGTATCATTACTTTTTAATAGTATTTTTATTATCTACAATGTAGATAACCAAATTCGCTAAATCATCCCAACAGTTTCTAATAAACCAACGTCTAGAGGCTGTGGATAAACGGTGCCCTTCATTGGTTCGCGTTGCCAATGTTGTAGATAACACCCCTCCTGGATTTCTCACCCTAGGATATGATGGTTGGCCTGATAAATACAACATACGTATAGAGGTGTCGTCCCTTGATTTATTTCCTGTTGGTTATTGTCATGCTTCTGGACATCCTCTACAAGTCCCACCGGGATGTAAGTTTCTAATTTTCGACTAATAATTATTATCAGTGTTTTGAGAGCTAAACTTCACATCACTATAAAATCAAAGCAAACTATAATCGAAACCATCCTAAAAAATTTAAAAACCCACACTCCTAAATCGGTATAGGTACGTTGTGTATCAGGAAAAAGGATAAACGAATCATTAAATGTATTGATTATAAAAATTTTATTTTTCTCCAACTTTTATCGTGTTTTCATTGGTAGATCTCTAACTGTTGTTTCTTATCATTGTAAAACCTTATCATGTGATTCGCTAACCACCACCTAGTAAAAGCCTAACATTTCTTATTTGTTGCTAGCTTGTAAATTCTAAATTGGAAAAATAGTTTAAAATTGACCATAAAACAAGATATATATATATATATATATATATATATATATATATATATATATTACGACCGATTTTGACTCTTGTTTATATTAACATAACATTTTAATTTTCCATGCATCTGTTGATATCTTAGTCGCGAATAAGCCTAACCCCAGGACGGTCCTTACGATATTATCTAATCTTCCCTCTCCAAGACAATTATTACTTATTACAGGAACTTGATCTAGCGTATTCACTTTTTTCCCACTGGACTAGATTAGTGGTTTATGTTTCAATTTTTTAAAAGCAACTTTTGTGAAGGTCATCATATTGTTTGTCCAGAATAATTTTTTCAATATCTTCAACTTTTTTCTATCAATTAAATGCCAAATACCTTTCACTTTTTTCCTTCCCTCACATAATTTTCCACTAATTAAAAAAAGACGGACGTTTTTATATTCTGTTAGATAGAATCTCATTTCCCTGGTGCCACAGAACTAATGCTTATGTGAAAAATAAAGATGAAAACTTGACATTAATTTTATTACTACTTACTTCTGCTTAATTTTTTCGTTATGCCTTTTTTATACCTATTCAGCTTTTGTTGACGAATTATTTCTTGAGATGAATATCGAAATGGTGTCTTTATTCAGTGGACTTAAACAGGGAAGCATTTTATATTGTGTTAATTTTTGGTATTTTTTTGGTTTCATCATAACCTTTCTAAGAGTTTTTTCAATGTTTTCTTTGTAAATTCGATATCTTTGTTCTGTTTCGTTGACCTTGAGAAGATGTCTCTAAATAATAACTCATTTAAAATCATAATATCTGATTCATTTATTTTATTTTTATAGATGATTCTGAATTGGATTTAAATGGAAATTTAATGGATTCTTATTCTAATTCTTCTGCCAGTTCACTCAGCTGTAGTGGGACTGCCAACCCATTTGGTGGGTGCCCAACTCCCGGTTGCAAAGGCTACGGGCATATCAAAGGACCTCGTTATTTTTCCCATCAGCGCATTTCGGGATGCCCATATGCTGATAGTAATCTTAAGAAAGATGCTATTAGAGCACACGAACGTCTAAGTTCAACAAATATATTAACGTCCAGTTCTCCTTTTTCTGTTGATTCAGAAAACCCCGATTCTAGTGCTACAATGGCCTCGGTTTCTGCTTACAATCCTCCTAATCGTAACTCAGGTCAACGTCTTTCTCCGGATTCTACTGTCAAAAGTGAATTCTCTTCAAATAACACACCCACTGTTGTTACATCTTATTCTCTCATAGCATGTCCATATTTAGATACCAAAGTTCCAGACTCTGTATCAGGTAATTCAGTTACACTGCAATTTTCTATTGCGGATAGCGTTGTCACAACTTCACCTGGTTTTTCACCTGTGATAAGCAACCTCCATTCAACCAGTAGCCCAGCTGTTTCTGTCCAGAGTTCACTCCCAAATGAATCCCCTCAATCTAATGTGTTGCCTTTAAACTTAACACTTGAAAAGTTGCCTGGTTTCTCACCTAAAGAAGTGCCTTTAAGAACTGAAATTTCAAACTCCTTTTCTCCAGCAATCGCTATTGGGTAGGTTATTTTTTCCTGATGATTTGTTCGTTTTTCGCGTAATCTTTTAACACTGTTCTATCTCATGCTTCTCATCCTTTTTTGAACTCTTAACCCATTTACTTAAAAAGGGACTGATGAGATATCTGAATTTTTATTATTTTGCATCTCTCACTCAAATATTACGAAGTTTTGCTTCACTGGTCTAATTTACATATGAAATCCTATACTAAAAAGTTGTCAGTTTATTTAAACATCGACGTGGTTGATGTAATAGAAAGCTTACTACATACTTTCTTAATTACATTGTTTCTAGTAATTAATAGTCTATTATTGTCCCAATAATTTGAAGTCACCTTCATGATCAGTTGTCAAGTAAAAGATTATCCATCGCCAACTGACCAATAGAATTTTGCCTTTTGTATCTTGTATCTACATTTCTAACGATCCTTTGTTATCAACTTCCATCCATAGCGTCAAAGGTACTCTGGAGTTATATTTGGGTGCTGTGTTTATATTGGGCAACAGAAAAATCATTTTCCTGCGCTTTCCACTTTGTTTAATAATTCGCAAGTTCAGCTTCTACTCATGAAAAATCTGGGTAGCACTAACACTCAGATCGTTAATGTTTTCCGCTTTATTTTCCGTATAAAGGTTATGAAGATTAAAATATCAACCAAATCGAAATGTTTTACATTCATTTCAGTGTGAATAATTTTTTGTCAACTAATTACACATAATAAAGCAGGTGATGCATTAAACCAAGATTTTGTGTATATTCTGAACATATTTTAGCTTATGTATCTGCAGCCATGTGATTGCCTGACATCTTATAATAAATCCTTTCTTTAAATAAGTGAATTATTCCAATTTAGTACACTTTATTGATAGCGTTTCAAAATAAATTATTTTAAACCTGTTCTTGAAGAATGTTTTGTCAATCGTTATTGACCCTGATAATTTAGCTCGTGTGTTTTTAATGTAGTCACAAAACATCACAATTGTTTTCTATTTTTCTGTATTCTCTTCTCAACATAAACTCATAATGTAAATCCCGGTTATTTTATTCCTCAGAACAATGTAAATCTAGTGGAGTTTCATTATACTTACCTAATTCATAACGTAAATCATCGTCGTTAATTTTCTTTGTTTTGAGTACATTCATTTAACATATGAATTGACTGACTCATGAATAATTCTCTTAAACTTATTGAATTACGATTGTTCATCGAGTTATGTATTTACCAAATCGTACGATTTTTTACATGCATAAAATGTTGATAAAAGTCTGTCTTCAAATAACATCGTATACATTTGTCTTCGTAATCGTCTTTCAAGTAACGAGATTGATTTGCTATATGGCTTACGTATGTGACAATATTTATCATTTATATCTCTAGTGAGATTTAAAACTTGAGGACCAAATGTTTGTGTTTGGTTTTCTCAAACCTTTTGAGTAATATCATTTTCGCTCATACTTATTGATGTCTTTACTGGATCATGTTTGGTTGTTTTTATTGGATATTTTCTGTACTTTTAGAAAGTATACTTTCCTCATTTTAAAATTTACGTCAATGCAACAAACGACTGAATCCATTGGAACATTGTATTCTTTTTGATCATTTTTATCTAATACTATGAATGTCAAATATTATGTAGGCAAGATAACTGTATTCTTCGTCACTATCAATCGTACAAATAGATTTTAGAGTATGGTTTTATTCACTTTTTCTCACACAATTTTTACTAGTCTGTTATACCGCTTCTCATTGCGGCATGCAATGCTCTTCTAGAGTATATATATATATATATATATATATGGGAAAGAGCAAGTTTTTCATTAGCTCAACACTTTCTTACTCAATCAAAATTATCCTCAAACGAAACACTTTCGCTTTATGACTAAAGAATTTTTCAAACACTTCATCTATTCAACATTTTGCAATTTAATAGTCCTTGTACTCTGCACGAAATCGATAGCCTAAAGGCTTAAGATAGCAGTTATTATTGAATGTAGATACTGTATAGCAGTACGATTTACGTATCTGTTTCGTCTTATTTATGATTTGTCAGCTGGATATTCCTTCAACTTAGTGTCTTCCTCTTCAATCTAACATTCCAAGCGTCAGTGTGAGGATCAAGAATACGATCCCGGTACATCCAACTGACGAGTGCTAGATATTGCCAAACACACATTCTAGATTCCATTACTAACCACTATCAAATATCAATTGAAACTTGTAAATGGACGGCAATATCGAGACCATCTACTTAGGATACTGATATGAAACTGATCAATTGCAGTCCGTAACATCAACCAGATAACAGTAATCCTTACAAATAATAATTATTATAGTACAGAAGTAAACTTAGTTTGATGAATATTGTATAGAGTATATAAGAGTGTAACTCCCTTTGTTTCCAAACGCGATTATAATTTTCCCAGTTGACAAACAGTATTTTTCCATAAGATACTGGGTTACAGAGGATAAGTAAAGTATGCTTTCATGCCACTGTGTTTCAGAAAAATACAGCATAATATGTTTTGTGTGAGCGTCAGTGCTACTTCGCCGTCAAAAAACGAATATGAAATTAAGTATACAAATAAATGCATGCCATCTTATTGAGAATGACATCTGAAATTAGTCTACCTTTCTGATGCATGATAATCACCGAAACATAAATTACTCTCCATAATATAGTTGTTGGTTGCTATCTTTATCTTGCACAAACAGGGAATGTACCATAAAGGGACTGGGATTGTTTTTCTGGTCATGGGTGTGAGACAGTCATAAGATTGCCATTCTTCGGTCAGAGTCACCAGACGAATGTTTACTAAATAGACGGGGTCGTTCTTTATGGTGAGTTATTTGATCTCATCCTCCTGATTGTTTCATCTAATATGTTAGCAGTAGGCGAGTAAATGTTTTGAACTGTTGCCTGTTGAATAACTTTTCGTGTTGAACTAATCTCTTTGTATAAGTCACCATGAATGAATAAACTTAGTCGGTTTTTACTTACTGCTACAAAGGAGACAATGGATAATTTCCCACGCCTAAAATAGTTGTGTGACTTTTTAATGTTAACAGCAGCAGTATTCCGGACTCTTTTTATGTGTTGTGAGAAACCTGTGGTTTTGTTTTAGTGGATTATTTCTGAGAATTCTTGTACATGACTCCAACATATTTAGGGTTCACATTTCACTCAAATTACTTTCCACTTTGCAAGCTGAATAATCCAACTTTGATTTCTGTATTTATTATGTATATGTTGTGCGTCATAATCGTATGAGTTTTCCAGCCAGTAGTAGAATAGTCAATAATAAATATTGGTCACTTCAACGTATGTCTGCTGTGTGATAACTGTAAGATAGTTACCTGTGTCTCAATCAACGGTCGTTTCAATAACACAGTATGTACGTGAACTTTTATCGTATTATAACCATGAACCAAGAAGGGTTGTTTATTGCTCTATAGTGAGTTCATTTTTGTTTGATAGTTTTACTATTAAGTGGTTTCCTTCGAATTCTTTTTTAATGCATCAGACAACACAGTAAATCGTTTGCCAGACTTCGCTGTTTTTTTTTCGTATCTCGTTTGTGAGTGGAAACTTTTTCCTCATTTTCTCGTTTCAATGTTTAATGTGGGGAATTTCAATGAGAATGATATTCTTAACATAATGACTGGCCATTTTCATTTGTACATTTTCCTTCATTTTCTACATCTGGACATTGGAAGCTGGTCTTCATATTTTAACCTGGTCATGTATGGACTCTTCATTCACCATGATTTCTTTCCCAAAAAGTATATTCTACTGTTAACTAATAAAAAGTCGAAAATCCATATTCTCGATAATTACGACAATCACTTTAATATTCATTTATGATTCTTGTGCTATTGCTTTACTTGTTAATTGTTTCTGTGTTTGAGTCCAATGTTCAATACCATTTATTTTAAATTAAAGGTTTTCTGATGTAGTTTAAATATTCAGAACATATCGAAATAATGCAGTCGCACTTTTTTGTTTCAGTATACGTATCTAACCCCATAGTTGGTATTCATTTTTATAATATATCTCTTCCGCTAATTTCCTTTTTGTAGTTAATTAATTGTCAAATAAAATATCCCAGTTAAATTTCTATTCACGTTGATGTTAATAGCCTGTTTGATTGTACTAGGCTTGTTGAGAAGTAAGTAAAATATTTGCCCACCATCTTAACTTAATTTGGCTTCATCTAACTGTGTTGTCGGTAAATTTTCTTGCCAGACTATGTTCTTGTTAGTTCTCAGGATGTTTACATTTATACATCGCTTTCCGGTACTGTGCACAAATAAACATTACTCTCACTTTTCCTTTTTCAAAATTCTTAATATTAGTGCCGTGCCTCAATGTGAAAACTCAAATTTATCTTCCGAAATCGCAGCCAATGTAATAGTCTTATCAAATGAATCCTCTATTAATGTTGCGTCTTCAAGCACAAAATCAAACATGAATTCTAATGACTCAGTTAGACCACAGAAATTAAGCAAATTAGAACCTAACCCGGACAGCGTGTCTCCTTCCAACCTTCTGTCTCATACTGCTGACCAATCTGATGAATATACAAAGAATCTTGGCATATCCGCTGTACCTATTAAACGTAAACGAGGTCGGCCTAGGAAATACACTTCTGTACATGTTCTCCATCCATCCTTACAACAGTCACGTCCTGTTCATTTCACTTCCTTGACATCTCTTCCACAATCATATACTACGTCTACTGGACGACACTCATATCCAGCTAGTGTATCAACTCAACATCATACTCTTTCATCTGCTGCAGTTCCGATTTCTTCGTTATCGATTACATCTACATTGTCACTTTGTAGCAGTATGAATGTAACTACCAGTTCTCACCCACCAACGGATTGTCAAAGTGATAGTTACCTCCCCCATAATATGGAATCTAATAACCTCAAAAACATCGATGTACTTAAGTCTGTCACATGCAGTTCAGAACCAAGTCCCGCTGACAGTGTTTTAACTAATGCTTGCATCAATACTAACATGGGTTACATGGATGTAGACCGCTTAAGATCATCTTCTGGTTATGAAATTCCTGGGCAGCACACTTCTACCTTAGCTGCAATAAATGATCCGACTACGGGCTATCCTATACATGCCAGGTTGACTCAAGAAATCACTCCTGTTGACCTGTGTTCTAATCGCACTCAGCACCTAACGGTTATGAATACCTCAGGTATGATCATCAACGCTAGTAACAGTCTTCCTCCTCAATCTTTGATCGAGACATCAAATACTGGATGGTATCCTGATGTGACTAACGGGTCATTCATGCCTCCTATATGTCCTAATCCTGTCTTATCTTCTCCATTCTATATTGATACAGCAAGGTCATCATGTCTATTACCATCTTTTGATCTATCCTCTTCAAGTTATATAAATGCTACCGTCAGCAGCTTGAATAATCCCTCGTTGAGGGACTTTGATTTAATGGGTCGTTTATTACCACAGGCAGGGGCGGCTATCCGTGCAGCCAAAGTTGCTGGCCTTCCTGGACCTCATTCGTGGAATCCAAATGTTGTAGCTAATTTTATTTCTACACTGCCAGGATGCAAGCAATTCGCTTGTAAATTCATTGAAAATGTAAGTCAAATACTTTTTTTTACTTGATTTCTGGTTATTGACTCATCTTTCATTTTATTTCATGTAATCAATATCACTACCAAGATTCTACTCAGCTCGTTGTTTAGATTTATCAAATTTGTTTCTTTGAAAGATCATTTCGGAATATTTATTGTACTGCAGTTATGAATAGAAAATCGTCAATATTTTTTTGAATTATTTGATATGCGTCGTCCCCGTAGACAACTAGTTTGCAAAAAATACTGTGGTTCATTTTAGATTTTGGTACTTACAATGTTATTAGAAAGACTCTTATTTTTACTCAGGTCAATCAATTCATCATCTTTTTTCTTCTATAAAATGCAAAGCCTTATTCAGCAGATGTTGAGAAGCGACGTAGACTTAGTAGTTATAAGTCATACAAATGAGAAATTTCAGTTATCTTTCTTTTTGTTGCTGTTGTCCGTCTAAACTGGAAAATTTAAAAGCTGTGTTACTGCTTTGATTCGCAGCAGATTAGTGGGAAAAATTAAACCAAAAGGTGAAGATTGCCAACATAGCCTTGGGGATAAAAATAAAAAAGAGATAGTGGGAACAATCTTCACCATTTGAAATAAAATCCAAACTAGGTGTGTTTGTTTTGTCATAATCAATTTATTATTGCTTCAAATAGTATTGTTCTTCATGAATTCTTTGTCTTGCAGCTAACTTACTATTCCTTAACAATGTTCTTGTAAAATGATGAAGCTTTTTTCCTGTGCTTTAGACCTTTGGCCATACTGATTCTGTCGCAAGTTCTAATTTCTGTCTAATTTAGTTCAAGTCGCTATGTGGTTTTTCCATCAATTGGCCATGGTTTAAAACCTAATCCACAAAGATGTAATTGATTACTGAGTTACATTGGTCTCATAAAAGTAAAAATAATAGTAGTGTAATTCATTCTCCACGTTCATATACTCGGCTGCCGAAACTTGAAGTAGATAGTATGGGTTTGGAATCAATGACCTATTGATTGGAAGCCGAGTCCCACATAAGTTAATTCTCTTAATTTCTTTTTTGTTTGAGACTAAACAGACTTATCGTACATACTTCTCCAGCGTGTACCTGAGAACTGGTTGATGCTTTCTAGATCTCTAGTGTGTAATGAGTTAAAAGCCAACAATAAGTATATTTCTAACATCAGTGAGTGACTCGAATCGTTAGTGACTTTTTGAAATTAAGTCACTAATTTTAGTGATAGACAATTATATATTGCCCTTTGTCAACTATTTTTTGATTTAACCGATTATCGATTTTTTCATAAGCGTAGTAGTATGTTGTGGGTTTGAAGGGTAGTTTGTTTCCATAGAGGAAATATATCGCAGCAATTTCGAAGCAAAAAATAATTTTTGAATTAATTATATTAAAATAGGCATTTCATATTCCTTTTATTGATAAGTTGGGTGTTTCCCGTTTTTAGAAACTAGCCTCACACCAGACTTTTTTTTACATAAACTTTCCAATCTTTGACAATTACATTCGCTCTTTTTACTAGAGTGATGAAATGAAGTGATCTCTCAGTTCGTTCTCTGCCGAAATGTGATGGGAGGTGATTAAAAAATAATCATGAGGATGTGGTTCATACTGTTTGTTTACTAGATTCCGCTTAAATTGGCTTACAATACCATGCTAATTTAGATGTAATAGATATCTTGCTCAGAAGCTAATACGCAAAGATTTTCTTGGTTTTTAGTTGTTCCTTCTTTAAAATTTATTTTTTCAAGTATGATGTGTGCAAAAACGAGTTCTTATTTTACTTCAGTGTGCTTTGTTCTTTTACCTTTTGATTAGAAAATCACATTTCTATTAACGTGGTTAGTTTTCTAACTTTTCATTTCTCTAACAAAAGTCTACTGATTTCGCTTTATAAATATAATAATCATTTCAATGTGGTCACAATGCTCTACCTTCATTCGTGTAATCAAGCAGATTTACCATAGATAATTTGTGGAACGGATTGAATTCAGGACTGGTGGTACGTTAACTTCTACATCTAGTCCTCATTGTCTTCCCATCTTCACTTTCATTGTCATCATCAGTCACTCACATTTTCCAATCCGCAATAAGTTTTGGTCATCAGTCGAGTTTAATGTTTGTAAAATGTATACTCATTTCTTATCATGCCTTGACATAGTTTACGACATCAGTCTTAACATTTTTATTCAGTAGTCTTAAATACGCTATGTACCACAATATTTTTTTAAAATCTAAATATTTCAGTTACGTATATTTGTGTGATAGTTTTTCTGTTTGTTACTGTCGGAAAACAACTCTATGTACTAATAACAGAGAGAGTGATTACATATTTCTTAGTAACTAGTAGTAAAATCCAGGTCTTGTCGACTGGATGTACTCGTTGTGTTCAAATGTCAATCAAAACACTTTCCTTTGCTGAAGTGTTCAGTGAAAAGTTGTAACTTGTGGGAAATATGCTATCTGGATTCTATTGCTAAGTGTTTGATCCTGATGCCAACGTAATCAATGTTCAATCATCCATTTAATAATATCCAAGTTTCTTAATTAATTCAGTCTTGCTAATCAACTACTAAAGAGTACAAATACTTATGATAATGAAAGTTTGTAGTTTCAAAATATTTATAGATAAAGCCTCTTTTCTTTCCAATTACTGTACGGGATTTTTAGATGAAAAATATATTGAGTCTCCCACGGTAAGAATTGTTTTGTTCTTTAGCTTGATCGTCAATCTAAGTGACTGGAAATGAAGAAGGCAGCAGCGATAGATAACACTTAACAGTTAAATAGACTCATCAAACAACATAGAGATACTTATCTATAATTTCCCATAACTTTATTTCATTAGTCGAGAGATCTTACGGTAGTCTGTTGTTTTAAGACGTACTATTATGGGGCACATAAACCTTCTACAGCCTCTTTGCTCGGACACTGTCAGTCAAATTGAAAATTGTGGCTATTTTTTTAACTGACTCTGTCAAGTGGTATTCATCAAGACAACCTATCTCATTTCTGTTTGGTTTTTTTGTAGATATTTCCCAGTAGTGCTTTTTTATCTGACTTTTTAGGGACGAACTTCCTGCCAGAAAATTCATTTGTCGATCTGGAATACACAAATGGAATCCTCTTGTTTCGTAAAGACTGACAAATGCAGAGTCTTTTATTCACTTTAAGTAACAACGAAAGCATGTTTTGAATCCGTTTCTCACCCTCCATGTGCTAAATATTTATCCAACATTGGTCTGCGTCTAGTTTAACGGTAGGGAGTGGAGAAGTGAAACGCGTTGATCGCTTTACTGATACTAGATGGAAAGGCTCATTCTATTTATGAGACTACGTTCCTTCATCGACGGGTTTGGCTATGACATTCAATATGAATGCCTTACCTCTGCTTAACCCGACATTTAATCATTGACTTACAAAGAAGTAGGTTGAAGAAACTGGGAATGGTCAGATCAAGGTGTGACATCAATCCAATTAAACAGACGGTTGGTGTAATGGAACCAGTTATAAAGTCAGAATACTGAGTAAACTCTAGCTTCACCAAAGGTATACAATAAATAATAATTGTTACTCCTGCCAATTTTATTACAAGCACTAGATGTACAATTGAATAAAACCAATGTTAAAACACTAGTGTTATGTTACAGCAAAATAGATATATTTTTTAGTTTTACGAGACATTTCACCAGTAAAATCCACACTTACATCTTTAGATCTGCTACTACCTATTTCTTACAGCATCAACTTGATTTGCAGTTACAGACTCGACTACCCATGTCATCTTTCCATTTGTTCGTTGTTTAATTAAGGTGTCCCACTATATATAACATCTGGTTGTTTCTAGGTTTTAGATCTCTAACAGTCTCTCACCCCTGTTTGAGTGCTCATCTCACTTTGCATAAGCTATCGAGAATGGGAGGATTTTGCAGCATTAAATCTCATTAGCATCAGCGACCCGTGTACACTACCCTTTTAATTATATCAACCGTTCTTCATTGGTTGAGGCATCCGACAGAGCTACTTCTAGTTCCCTTAAAAAAAAACTGGTAATCAACAGTGTCCTCCATTAATATATTTAGTTACATGTTCTGGAAGTCCTGTTAAGCTGCTGGATTTGACGTGATTCCAACATCACAGTCATCAAATAGTCTGAGAATACAGGAGTTGATATATAAAAAAATTTCACTGTGTTATAGGGGAACGTTTTTTCACATAATTAAGTATCCATATATTCTGGTACTCTTAGAATATTAAAGCCCATACTTACCATGTTATTCTCATTGCTTTTTTAGGAAATAGATGGAGCTGCTTTATTATGCCTTGAACAACACGATCTGATGCATGTATTAGGTATGAAACTGGGTCCTGCTGTAAAAGTATCTACTGCTATTCAAGCTTTACGTAAAAGCCTACTTGCAACGCCAATTTCAGAACTTGGTCCAGAGCATGCAAATGCTGTCGCTGCAGCTGTATCATGTTTTACTAACAGTTTGTCGTCACAGGTTGGTATCGGTTCATCTGTTACTAGTGATTCGCAATCTGTAGTGAACGGTTCCAGTGTAGACACTTCATCATCTAATACCGGGTGAAGCTATTCGTATAACACTAGTACACTGTCGTTCAGTGATCAAAATGCACCCTCTCCTACATTCCTACACTTGTTGTTTGTTGAAAATTCATCTTAAACTTGTTTCACAAAGGGAAGAACGATAAAGAATTGACCGTTTCATATTTTTACTTTGGGCTTTCGGTTTTTTTTGCCTTTTCCACTGTTCATGTATCGTCTGCCTGTAAATGGTAGTAGTCCAATTATATCTCAGTCGATGTGTGTATGCTTAGTTTCACAAGAACCGTAATTCAGAATCATCTTCCTAGTTGATATTATTATTAATATTATTATTATTGCTATTGTCATTAGCGACTGAATTTCGCCATATTTACAATAGTGCCTTACAGTATAAAACCAACTGTGAAAATCTGCAGTTCGGATTCTGAAATAAATATATTTTGTCTAAAATTTCCCTTGATATATACATATATATTTTCCATTATGGGTTGCATACCGCAAAGTAAGAATCTTGTTTATCAATCTTTTCTATTGGGTAACTTATCATCTATTGTTTTGATATCATGACTAAAGATTGGATTTCATTTAATATTTTGTATAATTAATAATCCAACGTTTAACGTTGTACAATACTTTTTATGATCAACTACATCACTGTTCTTGTTAGTGTTATTATGATATTACCATTAAATTTGCTAATTGACTTCGTAGAACAAATCTGGCCTATTTTTAAATAACCCCTAGTAGTGTTTTTATTGACTATTTAGTGAATTTAAAAATTTCTGTAGTTGGATTTTGTGTACGAATATGTATCTTAGTGACCACTACTTTGAATGAATGTATTCTTGATAAATTATGATTGAATCTGTGACTTACGACACGTAGTTACGTGCAAGTGATTGTAAACAAAATGTATGTTATTTCGTACAATTTTTTATTGACGTTTTTTCTTAGTCATGATTGTTGGCTCTTTGACTTCTGGATAGAACTCCCCTCTATTTGCGGCGTTTTTTTTAGTCACCCACTTTTTTCTATCCTGAATAAAAAATGTTCAAGATATTCCAGAGAATTAACTAGACCCAAAAGTAGAATGTTGAAATATATTCGTGCAATTACTCAGGCCAGCGTATTTATGCATTCCTTTTGATTCTTTTGACATCTATGCAGGAAATAACGAGTGCACATTCTTCAAAATCTTTGTACCTGAAATACTTGTTCCTCATCCTATTACTATTATAACAATATCCCTTCCGAATAAGTAGCAATTTCTTCTCGATGATGTTTATCAAGTTTATTTACAAATATGGATCTTCTGAACCATACAAATGATGTTTTGATAATAAATGTTCGCTTTGGAATATGTATCTTCTGAATTGTACTGGCGTTTATCACCTGAATTTTTTAAATTAAGAATATTAAGACAAGTTACAAATTTATAATCTTCAACAAGGCATATACAATTGCATCAACCAAAGTCACACTTCAGATCGACTGATCGAACAAAAATTAATGAAAATACGAACAAAATATTAAAGATAACGTAAATACTATTGGTAAACTAAACTCAATATATAGTTCTAATACTTTGAATGAAATCATTGTATGAAATTCCACCTTGATATGGAAGTTGGTCTTGCATATCGTGATAGCCAAGTCTATCCATATTGGCTAGAACATTCCTTTTTTTAAGCTCCAACCACCCCAGCCAGTTCGGTTGGAGAGCGGTAAGTTTTCACTAGCTAAGACTATAGGATCTTATGCTATTGATGTATACTCTCTCCGAAACACTCGTACAGAATCCTATTATGGTCATCCGCTTGACTTCACCTAACCAATATGGAGAGAGAAACAAATCATAACATTCGTTCATCTGGCGATGCAACATCAATTACTCAGGACTACACCAGTGGCACTAAATTTGAAGTCAAGACAAGCACTTAACAAGATTTCTGTTGATAATCTCTTATATTCTATTGATCTCGTAGGCACAGCAAGAACTCGAAAAGATCAGAACGCACTTCTGTCTCTTCGTCAACCGCAGATTGGTTGAAATAAAACATAAGTATTACAAGGAACTTCTTAGACTTCAAAAAGACGGGCTCGGATTTAGTAGACAATTTCAAAGTTGGTAGTCTACTTCAAAATGAAAAATACTTGAGTGGATCATACGGCGTTACACTCTAGATAATGGGAACAGTGTGTTGAAACAATATTCAGTTAAGTATACACGATCCCTGAACCATAGGTTCACGAAATTCAGTTTACTGTTACCTGTCGCAACTACTTACTTCAGTGTGGTTGTCTGAATATCTCATCTTTAAAGAAATCGGGAGGTAAACATCTGATTGTGTTCTCACGTATTGTATTGTTTCGTAAGTAGGTTATAGTACATTGTCTAATCTAATTCTCAGTATTTTATTGGCTTTTGGTGGTTGCTACAACCTCCTTGGCTTGTTAACCTGATTATGCAAGAATGAAAAGATTTGAGAGAAAATCCCCATACACTCCATATTGAGTAGTGTAGATCAACGATGATTTAGACGTACGAATTACGTTATTCAATACCCTATAGCCTTTTGCAGCAGCAGCCTTACAGTGACTAGTCGTTTTGAGATCATTGCTTAATATAACTCCTAAGTCTTTATAGTTTCTTGCTTTGGGTAGCACGAATCCACATACACTCCATATTGAGTAGTGTAGATCAACGATGATTTAGGCGTTCGAATTGCGTTATTCACTCACACACTTTTGATGAGGTTGATTTATCAAAATATATCCTCCCACATACAGTGGCTTACCCGTCAAGTAACTTTGTGGGTACTCTAGGCATGATTACATTACTAATTTCATTTACAGACACCTTGTTAGTTATTATAATCAGTTTCTTATAAGCCTTTGGTTATCATGTTCTTTCAAACCCTTAGTTGTTTGGAGCACTTCTAATAAGTTGTGTTTATAATATATGTTTGTTGTTATTTCCAAAATCATCAGGTATCTGACAATCAAGTAGATATAACCACAAACAGAGCTTTAATGCATTTGTTGATCACACAATTGTAGTTTACCCGTCAGCTGCCTCGTCACTTCCTGTTTCATCTTCTCCATATCCTTCGATCTTTAAGATCTTGCCTCCACAATATAATTACAAGAATAGGGGATAATTACCGCCAAAGAATTGTAAAATATTTATAGTAGACAGTAGTGGATTGTTGCGGGTTAACAGTCATGTACCGATTTAGTCAACCAAAATCAATACGGGGCATGGCACAACTGTGCGTTTCCATCGGTTGCCATACCGCCTCGACACAGCAAGATGAAACTAACATCAAGAGTCTAAACAATAGTAGTTTCAACGTTAGTGCGTAGTAGCTAAACATAGATACCCTACCAAGTTCAGATTGATTTAATATAGTAGGCGTCTAAGTATAATTTAATTACCAGCCCTCCTATCTATATCCACAACTAAAAACAGGAGCCCACTTTACGTATTTATTGGACAGGTAACGTGTTCTTGGGCGTCTTTTCACTGTATTGAAAATAATTAGATGTTGCCACTTCAAAGATTCTATGAAATAGTGTCAGGTGATACGCAATAGTTTTTTTCTGGTTTTCTCATTCAGTGTTATACATCCCATTGTCTGGATCCTACGTTTGTTAGTAAATTTGTTGTTTCATGGTTAGATGATGAAAGTCGTGAGGGAAACAGCGAAATTAGCTGCTGCATTAGTGATTAAAGTCAGGACGAGTTCTTTTATACTGTTATGTCAAAGTTTTTCCACAGCCTGAGGACATTTCTTGGACAATTCAACTTTTTTGCGTGTAAAGATATGACATTCTAATACTGCACATTCGTACTTCTCCTCATTAGTATATTTTTCAGGTTTCTTAAAAAATGTCTACAAGCTAGTTTGTGATTGGCTGATAACTTATATTCTATAGATTTCAAGATCACTTTCAAATTATCATTAGGAGCTAAACAATTACAACAGCTTGGATACGATTAGCAATAAACCAATCGCTCCTAATAGAAATCGGCCATCTTGATTCCGATCATTTTCTCTCGTATTATCACTTGCAAAATGTCCGTTTTTATGTTCAAAGCCTGTGCTGATGGCTAGGATTTATCAAGTGGCAACCAAATTGGTTTTGTGCTTTTAATTTCTATGTCAACTCTTACATATTAAGGTGCGTATATTTTTCTGCATATAAATGAAAAATATTGCTTCAGAACTGGCCTGTTTCGGCCCCTGAATTAGTCATATGAAGTAAAGTAGCTGAGCGGACCGACCATTTCACCTATTTTGAAGGTCTCACCAGCTCTAGTGGGTTGAAGTTTGGCGGGATCATGGCACGAATTCAGGAAACCCGATTAACCTTTGCCAGCTTGGATCATTTGTGGCGTAGGCGAGATATCCGTTTGCAAACCAAAGAACAAGTATACTGACATCAGTTCACTTGGTTCTACCTTATGACTGTGAGACATGACCTTTGAAACCAAAGAATAGTCGTAGATAACAAATATTTGACCATAGGTGTCCTCGAAACACTGCCTGTTTATATTGGGACCATTGAATGAGTAATGCTGAGGTTAGATGCAGAGCACTAAGTAATAATAGCAAGCTGGTTGGGATATATGTTGCATTTGCCTAGCCACCGCCCAAACCGACGCTCGACGTTTTGTGGTGTAGGAGACTAGAAGAAAGGTAGGGGAAGGCAAACCACGACGTGTCATCAGTTCACTAAGTTTCTGACTTTTTCTAAATCGTGTACGAAGGTGCAGATTACCCAGTTGGTATCCGGTTAATAATCATGACCAATGGTTAATGAGATGGATGAGGTGCATTCTGTCTTTGTCTTTATTTAAATCCGGAGTCCCAAAATGTGCCGATACTTCTAGTTTTCTTTCTCCGTGCCTAATGTTTTGTACAACAATCAATGCTTTTACCAATTCTGCTTTTCTTGGATTTATCTTGATCACGTATCTCACTATGCTAGTGGTGACTTCAGCCAATGCACATATGTATCAGGTTCTACGTAGCTTGTGACTGACCGACTACTCGTGTTTTCGAAGGGCATTTCCTTAGACTCATCTGACTGTTGTGATTCCCAAATCAAACTGAACCGTGGTTTCTTTGTAGCTGACATTTAAAGCAATAGTGTCGAGTGTTAAAACAGACTGCATAATTATCAGTAGTTACGTTTTTATGATTGAAATGTGTGGATTATTGTCACTTTTATTTCCTGATGCGTAAGGCGAAATTTAACGGGGTTTCGATAACTTGCAGTGATTTTACAGATTATGGTAGTAAATTGAGGGGCTATAAAGTGTCCCACCACCTATTTTTCCGAAGCATTGTTAAGTTATATTAAAACAATTAAATTTAACTTTATTGAGATTGTTTGTTTTCTGTTAAGTAAGAAATTTACTCAGTAATATTCCGAAACTATTATTCCAAGTGACAAAAGTGTTATGATATACATGAAATGTAATTAAAATCTCACACATTCAGTAAGTGTTAAAATACGTTTTCTTTGGTTACACTAAGATCTAAGGATTTTTTTTCAAAATAACAGACATATAATCGACTTCATACATCCAAATAATAGTAATGTTTTTGTATCATAGTGAACCTCACTATAGATCGTTTAATTAATGGAAGCTGAATAGCTTTTACTTTAGTAACATTAATTTACTAAGATAGGCGTTTAGCATAAGAAGTCACTACCAAATAGATGAGTTTGCTCATACTTAATACATATATGTTAATATGTAGATTCTTATTGTTGACGAAACCTTAAAAGCGGAGAGTAGCACTTGATGTATTTGGTGGCAAAGTATCACAATTTATTAGTATGATTTACAGGATCTGTTAAGTGAGAATGTGTATATACTTGAAGGGACTAAACAAGCGGGTTATACAATCTTTTGGAACCACCACAAATTATCAGTTAATTTATTTTTTGAACTTAGTTTTTATTATCAATTGATAACATAAAGGGTTAACAGTTGTCACACTTTTCTTATTGTCAACATGGGATTCATTTTCATGTAGTTCACATTTTGGTTAGATATCTGGAAGTTTTCACGTGCTACTTCCTTATGTTATTCAAAAATTCTGATTGACATACGAGATAACTTTTAAGTTAGTTATTAAGTGTCTAAAAAAAATTTCGTCGTGCGCACTGATTTGCAGTGTCGTTCATAAGATAGAACTAACAGGTAATATAATGGTCCTAATTGATGATTTCAGTGTCGATTCAAATTCTCACATTTAAATAATGTTAATTTTCACACGCTACATACTTTATATAATAGAAGAAAAATAATGGATTTTAGGGGTTGAGTAACTTAATCACTTACTACTACTAGTCTGTTCTTAATGTTGAAGCCAAATCTCTTTAAATCACTTCATAGACATTTGAATATTCTTCAGGAAAGCCAAGTCGTCGCGAACATTCTATTTGTTTAGTGATTCCGAATAGACCCAGTATATCGGTTGGAATTAAGGGTGAGATATCGTCGACTGAGAATTATTTGAATCTTAAATTACTTATCAAATATAACGATGTATGTTAAGAAAATATATTCATTTTATATCTTCAGTGGAGCTAGTGTCATACTAATCAACTGGTTGTACCCTTTCCTCATCAACATCGTGACTGACCAGATTCTGTCTATTTTATATCCCAATTCAGTTGTCGTCGTTATGGGTGGTCCTGAAGGAGAATTATACCGTATTTATTTACATGCCCTTCAAAACAAGGCAGATCACATGATGATTGGAAAGCCTCATGATAATTCAGATCTAAAAGTGAATGGAATATTCTGAATATGCAGATAATTCACCTAGACAAGGTGATCAACTTTATATTATTATCTGGGACTATCTGATCATTTATAAGTAATTATGTTGTAAGCCTTCTCATTCAGTTTTGGTAATTATTTACTGAAGTCTGTTACCACTCATGCAGCGTAGGCCACCAACTGGGAGTCTCTAACGAACTCCATCCAGAGCCATTCTTCATAGTCGTTCCAGACTGCTATTCATTCTTTCGATGTCTGACTCTAATTCCCGGAGCAATGTGTTTCCTGGTTTTACTGTTTTTTCGTCTTGAGGATTCCAAGTTAGGGCTTACCTTGTGATGCAGTCTGATGATTCCTACAATGTGTGTCCTATCCAGAGTTTTCCTAATCCCCTCTTCACCTGAAAGCTGATTTTGTTCTCTGCCGCAACCGATTAATGTTGATGTTCGTTGTAGTAGTTCTTCGAGTTCCAGTTCCGTGTAGTGAAGCTGTCTTAGCGCTTGTGTTAGAAATTCTAACTTCGGTCTCGGGTGACGGTTGTCTTGAGTTCCAGATGTATAGTAGGAATGCTACCCTTGTTTTGGCAATCCGAGCCTTCACATCTGCATCATATGCACCTTGTTTATCAATGGTGCTGAGCAGGTACGTAAATGCTTCCTCCTCTTTCATTGTGACTTGGTTGGAGCTCGCTGTGTCGTGTTTTAGGATCTTGCTTTTCCCCTTGTAAATTTTGAGGCCTACTGATGCAGAGGCTGGTGCCATACTGACTGCCTTCATCTACATTTGTTGGTGTGTGTGGAATAGAAGATAATATGCGAAGTCCAAGTTGTCTAGATGTTTATTGCATTTTGTCCTTCCCCTGTGATGTGGAGATCTTCATAGTCATGTCAACAACTAGAAGGGAAAGGGCGAAATTGAGCAACCTTTCCTGACACCAGTCTTGATTTGGAATGCGTCTGTCAGTTGTCCTCCATGCACAACTTTGCGATTCAGTCCATATGTTTTTGATGATCTTCTCAGGTACATCATCGTTTTAGAGAAGGTTTCACGAGGTTCTCTTATTCAAATTGTCAAACGTCTTCTCATAGGCAAGGGAGTTGATGCATAATGAAAAATTCCACTCACTTGACTACTCAACACTGTTCCGTGGTGTCGGGATGTGTTCGGTACATGATAGATCACCCTTGGTCTTCCCTCAAAATATTAGCCTGCCTGATCAAACTTGTTTGATGATCAAATCGAACCATGCACGATAACAGATTCTGGCGATGAAGATTTTCAGCTGGATTCTTCATCGCTTATCTATACAGTAGTAATTAATCAGACGAACCATGTCTTATAATTACCTATAAGAAATATATATTTATGTATATAAATCCAAATTTGATAAACGTCAAGAGCAATCGGATTAGTTTTGTTACCTTGGAAAGGGATTCAAATATTGCTTTCAATTCTCAAACTACAGGAATATCAAATTATTGACTTGGGAACAATACAGGAGTGGAAATAATCTTTTAAAATTAAATACGTAGAATTAAACAAAAAACAACTGATTGACTCTATTATAATGATCGAAATAGAAGTCTCCCTGTTACCAGTTGAGTCTCTTTCCAAATGGACTATATAATCTGTCTAATAACTAGAGCCTACATTGGTTTCGTTTGACGGTAAATATTCTCAACATTTTTGTTTACTGAGATCTGAAGTTTATCTTTCAAAAAATCGTCCCTAAGTTTGTCGTAATTAAAATATATCATCTGTTATCACAAGTAAACTTGGATTACTTTACAAACTCTTGAATATCATAAAATTAAAGCGAATTTTATGAATTCAAGGGGATACTTCGACCAGTGTTTTATTGACCTTGGGATCTCAGTCTTCATAATTAGTTGCATTGATATATTATCTCATACCTTCAATTACAAATTCACTTTCATTGATTATCGGATTCTCATTCATTTTAGTGTGAAACTCAAACCATTTTATAATTGCTACTACGTAATCTAGGACATAGATTTTCTTTCTAAAGCTTATTTTCATTACCTTCTCCACTTGAAATTGTCAATAGTCGATTTGATGAACAATTGCCAGAATTATTCTACATTTATCAGAGTTAACTAATCCACTTTTACGTTGTCTTCAAATTCGATGAAACGTTTCGCGTAAACATCATCAGAGATAAGTTCATCCGTTTAATGAATGAATTAATAATGTAGTATTTAGATTGTTAATAAAATGAGAGAATTGTCTGAATAGATCAATTCATACTATTTCACTAAGATTGTTATTCGTTCCTTATTGAAATATCCGAAATGGTGACGTGATTATGAGAATAGATAATTATTGTTACATAAACCAATTGGTTTCTGTTGTTATTGTATAGTGTTGCAAAAGATTATTTGATTAGTTTAGTTCATCTCCATCTTTCAGGCATACTATTGTACATGTTAATGGAAACCGGATTTAATAGTCAATATTTCTGACACATTTCCTTCTGTTCTCATTTATTTGTATAGTTTTGTGATTTTAGTTTTAGTACGAAATTATGATGTTGAAAATGTGTAAAAATCATTCAACCTTTAAATGTAATGATCAACACTTTTTTTCTATCTATAATTTAAGTGGCCAGAACAACTTAAAATTTGATGTGATATAGCATCATTGTAATTTCCAGATGGGTGTATCCAATGTAAGTTGCTAAATTATGATGTTCGATATCATAACTAAACCATCTAAAATGTTAAAGATTCCACCAGAAAATTTCCATCAATAGTTAGAGCATGGTTCGGAAGTTTGGTTTTACAGTAAAATAAATGTTAGGACACATTTCACTGTAGTAATTTTTTGGAAAATCTTGTGTATCTGTGTTCTAGTTTATTCATTGTGAAATATCGTCAAGTTTGGAATCGGAAGATGCTTCGCATGTTATCATTTAATATGTCATCCGAATATCATTTCACCTGTGAGTTCTGTAGGATGAATTTTGATATCCTGTTGTCAGTTAGACAATTTTTCAGTCTTCAAATATTAAACGCTTCAGTAGTTTGAATCCAAGTCACTTTTTATCCGAATTACTCGCTAGTTACGTTTTCTAACAGTAGGGCCTTAGAAAGGTAATCAGTTTATCCCATATTCCCACATTATCTATTTATAATAGTAATGGTTTATATTTATTCTAAAAACGAGTATAAAGTCTACCACACTTCAATAATTTGAGTAATCTATATAGTGATGGGTTAGATCAGTATGATCATTCATAAATGAATCAGTGTTGCCATTGAAATTCGTATATAACTACTATTATCAAAGAGTATAGTATTATTAATAGACAAAAACCTAGTAACTTAGGGACAATGAACTGTTATGTAGAACAGGTATTCGGAATTACGAATTAGCGTCAGGAAACAAAAAGTCAAAATGCAATCATTTTCAACCTCTTGATAAGAAAATAAGCTATAAATGGAAAGAAATCTATTTAGAAAAGTTGTTGGACAGAAGTCTGTGTCCATGCTGTTATGTTATTCATCATGTATTTCCCACGTACATTTTGTAAATGAATTCATCACCACAAAAGGAATGAGATAGGAAGCTACATGAAACTTATTCAAACATCACCATGTAATCATCTTTTAAGGGACATTATTACAGTAATTCATTTCAAAGTGTTAAAACAATCCATGCCAATTTTCAGGCATCTTCACAATGAAACAAAAGGAGAAGAAGCGCTTTTTAAAAAGAAGATACCTTATTTGGAAAGACTTAACTGGTAAATTGTTCTGAATGAACATTTGAGACAGATTTGTTAATAATGTGTATACAAAGCCATTTTCAAATACAGAATTATTGACAGAATATATATATTGTCATAAGTTTTGTAAATACATAATTGTCCCTAATAAATTATGTATGATAAGCAGTATTAAATAACAGACAAAGTTACTGTTTGTGAGTAAAGTGGTTACTACTCGCAAATTCTTCAACTACTTGTACAGATGAAGTAATGTCTTGATATAAAGCTAAGTTAAGGATTTCATTATAACTCATAGGGAAATGAGTCTACTAGGTCCAACACTGAGCCCAATGCTCAACTCCAAAGTATGAAATAAGAAAGAATAAAACATTTAAGCCGAGTTTCTAAATCATACACAGTCTTCCTATGTGTTTTAATTTTTCCAAGCTTTTCGAATGAAATATCAACATATATTTTTTCTAACAATTTTTGAAAAGATTTGATTGTCTTATTGTCCTATTTAATAAAAACAAATAAAATGAAAACAGTTAGTGAATTGTCATACATACAACTAAATAAATAAAACTCACTTAGATTGTAAACGGACAGAGAATTTACCATAACAATTAAACTATGGCGATTAAGCATAAATAAATCGTTTCTTTAATTTTTATACTTTACGACAACAATCAAGCATAATTTACATACACTGCTTGATTGATTTTTTTTCAAGCATAAATTTAAACGCTAAATAATCGTTGATCGATTTCAAAATATTAATTATGATGAATATAATTTTGAGTTGTACAACAAACAATAATGATTTTCGTAGTACGCCCTAATCATCACTTCTTGTGTGTGCGTGTGTGTGTATGTGTGTGTTTGTGATCGATTTTAATCTCATGTTTATGTTGTAAAAACCAAAATATTACTTACTACTGATAAAAGCAAGACAATTTTATTCATAAAGAGGTAAGTTTTAAAATAAAAATCCGTAGTTTTTCGTTTTCTCTCTCGCTCTCTCTTATATGAATGTCGTTTAAGTCATTACCTAAAACGAGCCAATCAATAAGTCATGGCCTTTATATAAGATATTTATAAATAATATGTATGTAAATCTAATAATTATTATTTAACCAGATGGTGGTTAACGTACGTGTTTGTTTGTCTATTTGTATACGGATATTTTTAACCATCCATGTGTATGTGTATATACGTACGACTGAAATGTGTTGCATCCAATATTAAAGAAAAAATATTTCAACAATATATATATATATATATATATATATATATATATATATATATATATATATATAATGAAAGTCAAACCTTTTCATAAGTCACAAGACCGGTGCCCCTTCTAACAACCAGAACAACTTGGAATGCTGAAGGGAAATGGAAAAGAGGAAGACCAAAGTACACACTGCGTCAAGAATCGGAAGCAAACATGAAAAGGATGAATAACAACCGAAAACAAGTGGGAAGTGTTGTGGAGGACAGAGTTGATTGGAGACTTCAGGTGTGTGGCTTTTGCTCTTCCACGAGGTGTAACAGGCGTAAATAAGTATATATACGATTGCGCAGCTTGATAATAAATTCGTTAAATATAAAACAATAGTTGGTTCCCTATAAATAAAAATAGCAATTTTGGGTGAAATTTGTACGTTAATTGGCTGGGAACTGGGTTTGTTGAGTTTTAATTAAAAGACTAATGTATGAACGAAAAATATCCCTTTCAATAAATTTTCTTCAGGTTTTACAATTATATATGTAAATTAGTAATCTGAAAATTGGCCAGGTTTAAAATTAAAATAAAATTGTTAATACTGATATGATTCATTC